GGAGGGCTAGAGAAGACACTATTGGGTTTCTCTGTTTCTCAGCTTTGCAGGTTCTAGGCTGGCTTCCAGGGGACACTTGCCCACAAGGTGGCCCAGATGCTGACCAGGATCCAGCAGTGCTCAGCACTTATACCTGGCTCTGTGCTCAGCGGCCATGCCTGGCCTTGCTTGGAGGGACCCTATGGCAGGATTCAAACCATCATTGCTACCCAGCTGCACGCAAGGCAAGCATCTTTGTTCTGTCTCTCCTGCCTCAGGCTCACTTTTGACCCATCATTAACACCAGGACAAATGGTGCCCAATCCTTCCCTCAGAGAAACGTTCTGTGAAGGATTTCATTGGACCAACCCTAATGAAATCCCTTGGCAGTTGGGCAGTGCCTATTTCTAGAAATGAAGGTGAACCCTCTCCCCACCCTCTGAGCATCATGACTGGAGCATTTAGAGGGGTTGTACAGGCAAAAAATCATCAGAGCCATGAAACACTTTTTAAGCCAGAACTACCACTATTGTCTTAGGCCACCTAACTGGTGTGTCTGAAAGACCACAGGCCAGAGAGCTAGTGCAAAGGTTAAGCTGCCTTGTATGCATTTGAGGCCTCAGCCCTGATTCAAGTCCTGACACTATATATGGTCCCGTGAGCACAGCTTGGAGTGGTTCCTGAGCACAGAGTCAGGAATAAGCACATTGGGGTGCTGGACCAGTTCTGTAGTTGTAGGTGTTATTTCTGCAAGTCCTGCCTACATCTCTGCTGGCACTGAATGCGAATGATTCCCTGTATTAAATAAGTTTCTACTTAAAACATCCAGAGACAGGGACATGTCTCAGCAGCAGTGTGCTGGCCTTGTGCATCTGAGACCTGGGATTCGGCTCAGTCCTGGGTACCGAAAAAAAATTGCCAAAGAGATGTCGGTCTACTGGATTTAAATACATAGGATTGATTAAAAAGAAATCTTTCTAAATATCTGGTTCTTACCAGGATATGACTGCTCAGAACAGATGGATTTGGAAGCAACCCTTGGTGTGGGCAGAGGAGCAATCAATTTGGCTTCCGTGGAAAATGTCTTGCCCTAGAAGAAGGATGGTACAACATGTGGGAACTTATTTGATTGACTTATGTGCCCCTCCTGAGACATCGTCAGTCTCGGGTTCAGAGACAAAGAGCAGAGTTCGCACGCGTGAGGCCTGGATTCCCGGCTCAAGTAAAACATAAATAAATAAAAGAAATTACTTGGACTCTTTCTTTAGTTGGGGCCACTGGGAAATACTCTCTGTTCCTTGAATTCATTTTTTCAGGGCAAAGCTTATACTTTTTTTGCTTATTCATTCAAAGTACACAAGAATTTCTGAGCACCACCTGATACTTATCCTCACACTGCACCTTCAACTCTGGGGCCCTTGCTCCATAAACACACATGTGCAAGCACACTCATGCATCTGTACAAACACAAGTGCTCTACTGCAGAGCCACACCCCCAACCCCTCCTTTACTGAGGGCAATGGCGATGATGGTCATTGTTGGGCAGTGCAGTTCCAGCCCTGGAGCAGCACCGATTATACCTAGAAATTCAATGAACATTCACCGGAATTTATATTCTGGTTCCCGAAGGGCTTCCAAAGACTTAGAATATCCCTAGAAGCTGTCAGATCAAAGATTAGCTTTAAAGATCAAAGGAGGTGATAGAAACTCCTGGTGTTGAGACAAAATAAGAACTTGGCAGCATCTTTCTTCTCTCAAGTCCTAGTTTAACCCCATTCTCATCTCTTTTAGCCCAGTGAAGGGGTGTGTGTAGGTGGGGTGGGAGGGGATATGAAGTTCAAGCTATGCTATAGCATTGCACCTTAGAAGACCTGTCTTTGCAGACATTCTGCTATATTAATAATTCTTCCCAGTTCGTTTCTGTCCTTTGTGGGATATGTGACCTGTGAGAATTTTTTTTCTTTTTTCTTTTTAGGTTTTGCGCCATACCCGGGTATGTTCAGGACTTATTCTTGGCTCTGTGCTCAAGGATTACTCCTGGCAGGACTTGGGGGACATATGCGATGTCAGGGATTGACTTTGAATTGGCCGTGTGCAAGGCAAGCTGTACAATCTCTCTAGTGTTTTTAACCTAAGATTTTTCTTTCTTACACTTTGTTTTTGTTTTTAACTTTGTTTTTTTGCAGTTGCTAAATAAAACAGGGAAGATGGCAGTAACCAAAAATTATTCAATACTGTTTCCATGGAAAAGTGGGTATTCTGTCCCTGTCCCTTTCATGTCTGTGACTGCTCGGAGGGACAGAGCAGAAGCAAGGCTGTGCTAATTCACAAGAAGAGGTCGGGACAGACAGCTTCTATTTCCTGTCTTAGAATATTCCTGGGGAAGATGTCCCATGTGGTGAGGAAGCCTCACCTGGATAGAGAGAGGCGTGCTGGCTGGCCTGGCCCAGGCTGGCTTGTACTGGCCCGTGCTGGCCCATGCTGACTGTCTCAGCCATTCCAGCTGAAAGGCAGACCAGCAAATGAAGAAGCCCTCTCAGCCATTCAGCTCCAGAGAGGGCTTGAGCTCACTCATCTCCCGCCACCTTCTGACTGCAACAATGTCACAAATCCCAAGATAGACCCTCCCAGCTGTGAGCCCTAAAGCCCCAAAATATAAGAGCAACTGGCATAGGCCAATTGTGAGGGGAAAGCGAGATTTTTTTTGAACACAAAATGCCTAATCCACTGCCTATAATAAAGTAAGCCTCTCCACATGTATTTTTCTGTTCCTTCTCCTTTCTTTATTATTTTAATTTGGGGGGGGGGATTGGGGGCTCATCTCGGTAGTGTTCAGGCATTACTCCTGGCTCAGTGCTCAGGGATCATTCCTGGCAGTGTTTGGGTAACCCTTTGCAGTGCCGGGAATCAAACCAGAGTCAGCAACTGTGTGCAAGGCAAGTGTCTCCACTGCTGTACCATCTCTCTGATCACCTTTTTATTTACTGATGGGCCAGACATCAATGCCATCCTCAGAAGAAAGGAGCTATTTGCTCTAAATTTGGAACTGGAAGACCTCTCTCTTATTGTCTCCCTCTCCCTCATTTCATTCCTTCCTGTGTTCTTTAAAGAACACTCAGATCTTTTAGACCTAAAATAAGAGTACCAAATTCAGCCTTTGTGTTTCAGACAGAAAAATCACAGGCTTGTTATGGGCTCATGGTAACAAAAATCAAGCCTCAGATGCTTAAAGGATTCAAAGCAAAAGTGCCCTTGACAACTTTTGTCGTGTGTGTGTGTAAAACAGTTAAACAAAAATTTTATAGACTATGTAATAATTTTACTGTGTAAGCATGATAGAATTACAGGGTCTGGGGGCGGGGTGGGTGTGGAGAGGGATTTAAAAAGTACATGGTTACCTGTAATTATAGTCTTGCTACATTTGAATTTATAGAACCAGTAAAATCCAAGTTTGGTTGAAACCATGCAGAAAGACAAGGTGTTTAGTGGGAATGCTTTTTCCTTTTGACTCAATTGCATTTTGGGATCTCCCTGAAAGTCAACACTGCAGTGTGTGTATTGCTAAGGTTGTGAGACTTGCTTAGTTATGCTGCCCTATTCTCCTTCCCTCTCTATTCACCCCCCCACCCTTAATTCCTGCAAACTTCTAACCCATAATAAGCAAGAGGGTTTATCTTAGAGTGGAGGGAGAACAGAGTCAGTATCATAAACTCTGTCAGCTAAGCTGGTCAGTTGAGTTGAGGGTGGAGGAGGAGTCAAACTAGATGCTTGAAGAGTTGTAGATAAGGGAATTGGTTTGTTTTACTTTCCCATTTCAACCTTTAATGTGGTGTGGAATTTAATGAAGTCCTGGGTTTTGTTGTCCGAGGTCCTCAGGATAAAAGCCTCAGGAACATGTGTGTGTGTGGGGGGGGGGCAGGAGCTAGAGGTTAGGAGGGTGGGGAGAAGGTGTGGGTGTTGGAGGTGGCCAGCCTGAGTGTTTGGTGACATTTTGCAGCCAGTTCCAGCTCCAGCATATTGCTTGCATGGGAAAATCCTGAGCAGAGCTCAGAGATCTTGACACTTCTCGGGATACTGAGTCCCTTTTCTTCTCATCAATTCACTTGCTTCATTGAGGACCTTTGGTGCTACCTGCCTCCCCCAAAGACAGCTGGGGCGAGTGCTTTCTTTCCGTTTCATACTGGCTCTCGGGGGAGGTGTGATTCCTCGCTAGATGCTGGAAAGCTTGTTCTATAATTATTCTCCCTTCGCTTCTCCCCTATGTGTGCTCACTTAAGTTTGTCAAGGGCTTAAGCAATCCACTGCCCTGCGCACCTGGGGTCTACAGCAAATCGGGGTCATTATTTTACCCCAAACTTAGATATCACGTGGCAGAGGACTGGGTAGGTGGGGGATCTGCTATTATATGTCATTGGAGCCAAATCCATAATCCGTGTTGCCATCCCCCAAACCCGTGTGTGATCACGCCCTGGAGAAGAACCATGGCCTAGCACCCAGAGAGCTCTCACCCTCCAGGCCACGGCCAGGAGGGTTAGTGGGTGCAAAGAGTGGGAGTATGTACTGGGGGACCCGGGAGTGGACAGATGTCCCGCGATGGCTCTCAGAAGAAAGGCCTTCTTCACGCTCGCCTCCCGGCCCTGGGCCCGCCACCCCAGGCATCCTCAATGCCGCAGCCGCAGCCTCTACCCCATGCACGCGCCACGGACCCCGGGCTGGTGCCGCGCCACGGGCTCGCGAGCACACGTGGCCCGTCTCCCCACCCGCGCCGCACTCGGTTCGGCACTGGCGCCCCGAGCGGCGCCGGGGGCGGGGCCTGGCGCAGGGCGTCCCGGGATTGGCTGCGGGCGGCAGGGGGCGTGGCCGAGCGCAGGGAAAACAGCGCGCGCGCATCCACGGGGCCATCCCAGCCCCGAGTCCCGGAGCCCGTGCGGGAGTCTGTGCCGCCGCCCTCCCTGCAGGGCTAGGAGTCGGGTTCCCTCTCGCTTCCCTCCTCGCCCCGCGTCCTGTCCCGCCCGCCCGCCCGCTGCCGCCGAGGAGCGGACGTGCTCCGGGTCTGCACGCCCCGTGCCGTGCCGGGCAGCCGCGGCCGCAGCGGCGATGCGCCTCATTCAGAACATGTGCACCATCGCGGAGTACCCCGGCCCGGGTGGAGCCGCCGACGGCTGCCCAGGGGCGGCCGGGCGCCGCCTGGTCAAAATCGCCGTGGTGGGCGCCAGCGGAGTGGGCAAGACGGGTGAGTCGTCGCCGCCTTTCGGACCCGACCCGGCTTCTCGTGGGGAGTTGCAGGCGGACGAGGCGGGATCCCGGGGGCTGCAGCTGGGGTCGCCTCCCCCCCCCCTTCGGCCCCCCCGGCTTGGATCGCGGCCCCTCGGGAAGGATCTCTGCCCGTGCCCCTGCCAACCTTCTCCAAACAGAGAAGAGAAGGGAGGAGGCGATCTTCGGGAGCGCTATTGGCACCCAACTTAGGGCTTCCTGAGCTGCTGGTGGTGCCAGGCGCCCGGGGAGGGCACAGCGGGGACAGAACCGCTGCTGGAGTTGCTCGGGAAGGCTCGGTACGACTTTTGTCTGCTGCAAGGCGGCCGTGCCCGGACGAGGGGGCAGGGCCAGATGACCCTTCCAGCTGGCCAGAGCCATAACTCACGGTGCCTTCTGTCCCCCGCTCCGTTGGGGTCTGCAGCAAGGGTCAGAGTTGTGGGGTAGGAATGTCACTTGGTGGCTTAGTGGTCGGTAGGGAGAGTTTCCAGCGACAGGGGGTTTCTAGATTGGGGGTGGGGTGGAGAGCAGTTCTACTACTGCATGTCACCGGGTTTAACCCCTCGTTCTTCTCTCGGCAGCCCTGGTGGTCCGTTTCCTCACCAAGCGATTCATTGGGGACTACGAAAGAAATGCAGGTGAGGGGATGAGCTTATGTCTTTGAGGTGTGTGTGAGTGTACGTGTGTACGTGTGTGCGTGCGTGCGTGTATGTATGTATGTATTTCCCAGTCTTTCAGGCAAGTTCCTTACAAGTGACAGTTAAGTCTTCAAATCAGGATCCTGCCACTTGTGGCTCTGCCTAGCCCCCCTCCTGTGCCCTTCCCCCCATAATTGCCATCTGGCCTCATTCCATTCCAAGCCCATTCATCATTTTATCAAGTGTCCCGAAAGTATTCTCCTTGGTATGTTTTAACTATAGGGACCCCAGTTGGGAGCACCCTTTGTACTCAGGAGTCTGCATCCATTAAAAACACTCCTGCAAAAGTCATAAGAACTGGGGGCAGGGGCAGCTCTCCGCCCCCTCCCCCTCTGCTGGCTACTTTCCAAGGCGACCCTTTAAAGCAAAGGTCAAAGGAGAGCACCAGTAAACCTAAAGTTTTCTTAACAATAAAAAACTAAATGGTAGAATTTGAGGAGGAGGGTACTTGACTAAGTTAGAGGAGATAATTTCCATTGCTGTGATTCAGGCCAGCCACGGGGGAGGCTTAAGGGCTTTCTGCCTATATTCTGTTAGCAAATTGTTTAATTCCTTAGGCCATATGAAGTATCTGTGGGGGGATTATTTGAAATGCACTGTATAAACCATTCTAAGATAAGACATGGCAGCCCTCTGCTTTGATGTAGAGTTGGCTATCAGGTCCTACTCTTATTCCAATGGATAATGTTGACTGTGCATGAACTTAATAATATTTGCCTACCAAGTTATTACATCTAATGGCTGTAATAGAATGATGTCCAAGAGTGATTAGGTTCTGAAACCAAAAGCTCATACCTGCTGAGCCAAGAGCATTTCCTTCCAAAAACTACCCAAAGAAAACTTTTTAAATGAAATAATTCAGTTTTCACACACGTGCAAACTTTACCCCAGCTTTCATCCACTGTTATGGAGTTAAATTTTCATGTGTTAAAAAATTGAAAGGAGCCCATTAACCAGGATGAACGATAGATTCTTTTTGTGTGTAGTTCATGATACGTTTTCTATGTTAAAAAGAAAAATCTCACAGAGTTCTGAAAATTGTACAAGAAGAAAGAAGCAATCTGTTTTGTTTTTTTTTTCTTCCCCCCCCGCCCCCCCTTCTAGGTAATCTCTATACCAGACAAGTTCAAATAGAAGGTGAAACCCTGGCTATTCAGGTTCAAGACACTCCAGGTATTCAGGTGAGAGGCGCTCGGAGTTACATGGCTCGGTCAGGGGGAGTCAGCCTTCCTGGGAAATTGTTCAGCTGTTTCCAGACTTCCCCAGCTGCAAGACTGCAAGGAGAGAAACCTGGGGAGTCAGGTCCAGGCTTTTGTATATTGTTTGACACTTCAGTTGTAATCTGCCTGTTGGTCAGTTTTAGTCCGGCTTAATTTGTGAGATTGGCAGAAATCTTCTTTGGGGATTATCCCTCCAGTCGGAAAAACCAAAGCGAACACTCTTGGGATTGGCAGTTTGCTTCATAAAAAGACCCTCCTCCCCCTCTCTCCAGCCCTCCCCCGCCCGTCCATTTTGTGCTTTTCACATTAAGGTATAGTGTCCAAACTCTTGGGATAACGTCTATATTTTGGAAAGTTACTCTACAGACAAAAGAGCTGTGTGAGTGTGTGTGGGTTTTTTTTTCCTTTCCTTTTTTTTTCTTCTCTCGAACTGGGCAGTTATCCAGGTTTAAATGCTTCCAGCTCCTATCTTTACTTCTCCAGACTTACTGTCTAGCCAGTTAATTTCCCATTTTGTGCAACTACAAAGTCTCTCCGCGTGGAGTTCTCTGCAGGTCAATTTTCCACTTGAGTGTGGTGAGCTGCTCTGTTATTTATTCCAACTCAGTGCAGCTGGATCAACATATTGTCAAGAAAGCCGAAGTGTGTGGGGCTCCAGCTTGTTTATAGCCTACTGCCTTGGCGTTACCGGCAAGGGTGACTCCTTGAATGTTCTCTCTAAGCTCTGCTAGGGCTATGGAACGCCCCGGTCACTCACCTGGCCTCGCTTCCTGCCTTTCAGGTCCACGAGAACGGCTTGGGCTGCACCGAGCAGCTGAACAGGTGCCTCCGCTGGGCGGATGCCGTGGTCATCGTGTTCTCCATCACTGACTCCAAGAGTTACGAACTCATCGGCCCACTCCACCAACTCGTGCAGCAGCTGCACCTCGGCACGCGGCTGCCCGTGGTGGTCGTGGCCAACAAGGCCGACCTCCTGCACATCAAGCAGGTGGACCCCCAGCGTGGCCTGCAGCTGGCTAGTGTGCTGGGCTGTTCCTTCTACGAAGTGTCGGTCAGCGAGAATGACAACGACGTCTACAACGCCTTCCACGTCCTGTGCAAGGAGGTGAGCCCCAAGCAGCAGCCCAGCAGCACGCCCGAGAAGCGGAGGAGCTCCCTCATCCCCCGACCCAAATCTCCCAACATGCAGGACCTGAAGAGGAGGTTCAAGCAAGCGCTTTCAGCCAAGGTGCGAACTGTCACCTCTGTCTGAAGGATGCACCCCTCCAGAGCTGGGCGCCAGGGGGCGTGGCCCTCTCACCGGGGGTGTGGCCTTTGCACCGGGGGTGTGGTCTTCGTGCCGGGGGCGTGGCCTTCGCGCTGGGGGTGTGGCCTTCTCCCCTCTACGTGGGCAAAGCCCCCGAAGACTGCACCCGTAGGCAGCTAGTCCTTGTTCCAGAAAGGACCAGAGTGGAGGGCCAGGCGGGCCCAGGGAACTGCTGCAGGAAAGGGAGTTACCTGCCAAGCAGTGGACAGAACGGGGTCGGCTCAAACCCCCAAGCCTATGTATTTCCATCTTGTCTTTGGGAGGACGAACTCCCTTTTGCGTTTCTTCTTAAGGACGGTCTGTAGTAGTTTTACGGAATCTAGTGATGTGATTTACAGGGGGAGTAAAGAGCTGGTGGGACACTCAGAGCTCTTCACTTAGCCCCCCTCCCCACTTCTCCCTACCCCCCAAAAGGATGAATTTTGCTGTTCTCTGGAAAGTATGATTTGCATTGTGTCTCTGGAAACCTGCTCCCTGTAGAATACCTGTCTAATCTGAAGGATAATACCCTATTTTGTTTTTTAAACAACAAAGAAGAAAAAACACCCTCTCCCCCAAGCGGGAGTTTCTGGCCACAACGTGCTCCCCCCAGACATCTGTGAGCCCCATGACCTGGGGTGTGCATGCTTTGTGGGGCACACGGGAATGAGGAAGGCCTGACTCCTCAGCCCGACCGTTCCAGTAATTAGGAGACTGAGCTTATACTTCTCAATGGTTGCTACCAGGTACAGAACCACCCCCATCCCCAAAGCATGTCTATCCACTGGGGTGTGATTTGTGCTTGGTGGCCCCAGGGTGGGGTCCTGGGCCTGGCCGCAGCTGGTGGCTGTTGGCAGACGCTGCCCGACCACGAGCGAGCGGGTTCGGAGGGCGCTGCCAAGCGCCCTCCACAGATGCACTTTAAAAAGCCACTCATGCTTTGGCTGAAACTGTAATTAATTTATTTTATGTACAATAAATCTCATTGGAAAGAGAGCCAGTGTCTGACTCAGCCTTTCTGGAAACGGTCACTGCCGTTCCTCCAGACGGAGCTTCTCTTGGTCTCTTGGACTTACCGGACATACTACTGGATATGTGGGTTCTGGGATGACGCCTTTCTAGGGGGTCCCTCTTACTGGAGAGTGCCAGCTCTCCCTACCCCACACTTCACACTTCACAGAGGAGGACATAGGCTTTGAAAGTAAGTTCAATCCCTTGTTACTGGGCCCCTTTCACACCCCATTCATACCCTTCATGACTCCCCATCTGACCCTTCATCACCTGGATTCTGACTCTGAGCTATTCAGACCTTTCAGCTAAGCCTTGAAACTGAGTGTTTTCCACACATGATAACTTCTGTTCCCCATATGTGTGCTTTGGCAAATAATGCTTTCAGATAGCATTGTTTGCAGATAAGTGCACTTGATAGCACAGGGGTAGGGTGTTTGCCTTGCACAACGCCAACCCAGCTGACCCGAGTTTGATTCCTCCACCCCTGGCAAGCTACCCGTGACGTTATTTGATATGCCAAACACAGTAACAAGCCTCACAATGGAGACATTACTGGGCCCACTCGAGCAAATCAATGAACAAGGAGGGTGGTGGGGGGGAGTGCTACAGTGCTACAATTGTTGTTCGTTTTTGGGCCAGACCCGGCAATGCTCAGGGCTTACTCCTGGCTCTGCACTCAGGAATAATTCCTGGCGGTGCTTGGTGGACCACATGGGATGCCGCAGATTGATCTGTCTACAAGGCAAACACCCTCCGCACTGTACTCAGGCCCCAGTGTTCTTTAATGGGAATGTCCAACCTGTGACGTGGGGCTACTCAGGACCCTTCCCTGGGGCAGCTGCTGCCACAGGTGCCTGTGTGAGAGCTGACAAGCCTCATGCCCTCTGCGCCTGGACCCTCTGGGCTGGGGTGACCTTTTCTGCAAGCGTGTATGTCAAGAGTTCCCAGGATCACGCCTTATGTTTGAGTCGTGCACTCACAGAATCTGATTTCACTGAATTCTCTGCATGGACCCATGAGGAGGGCTGGGGTGTGCTGTCTCATAGGTGAAAAAAAAAATGCTGCATTTTGAGCAATGTCCCTGTGTTTACATCGTGGACCTGAACAGCTCTGGTGCAGCACCAGAGGTTGGGCATGACATCCTGCCCTGCCACAGGGCTGTGGGGACCCAGGGACGCTTCCAGAAGGGATGGTTGGCTCCTCAGGCCCTGCTGGAGTGTGGCAGCACCTTTCTGCTCTCCCATAGGCTAGCGGCCTGCCTAATCGCCACACTGTGGCTGTGAGTATTCCGACCTTCCTAACATGGAGGCTCATTATCCACATTCAGCCTAAGCTTCCCTCAGAAGGGGTCTGTGCAGGGGAGTGATGCCAGGAAGGAAAGAGGGCAGCTGAGATGGAAAAGCATAATCGGGGGGACCAGAGCAATAGCACAGTGGAGAGGGCACTTGCTTTGCACACAGACAACCTGGGTTCGATCCCTGGCATCCCATAAGGTCCCAGGAGTCATTCCTGAGTGCAGAGCCAGGAGTAACCCCTGAGCATCGCTGGGTATGACCCAAAAAGTAAAAAAAAATAAAAATTCAAAAAATTCAAAAAAACATAAATCAGGGAAGAGAGGTTGCACATCGGGTAGGGCGTGTGCCCTCAATGTGGCTGACTCTGGTTCTGTCCTTGGCACTGCACCTGGTCCCTTGAGCACCACTAGGAGTGATTCTTAAGCACCACCAACCTTCCCACCCCCAGTCTCTAATGGTGGTGTCTAAAGAGCTCTCAACTTGATTCTCCATATTTTTTTCTTTTCTTTGGGCTATACCCAGCAGTGCTCAGGGCTAAACCCTGACTCTGCGCTCAGGGATCAGTCCTGGTGGGCTTGAGGGACCATATGGGATGTTGGCGGTTGAACCCGGGTTGGTTGTGTGCTAGACAAGTGCCTTACCTGCTGTCCTCTGGCTCCAGTCCCGGGAGAGTTTCACCTCTATGTCCTTCACAGTGGTCTTCCACCATGTTCTGGATGGAAGGGGGTGCCTAGACATCATCTCGCTGGGGTGTTGAGCAGGGTGGCCTTCATGGCTCCTGGGACCCTGCTTCTCACCCTTGTACCTTCCCCTGCTCCCCCAACAGCACCAGCGACCTGCCAGCCCCTCACTTGGCCCTGAATAATCTCTTGTGCTTCACCTTGGAAAATAAGGCAGGAGGGTTGGGAGCTCAGGACCAGGCAGAGAGATCCAGTGTTGAAGGCCACTGGGCGGTGAGGGGGGCCGTGGTGACACTGTTGTTGGCAGCTGCCCAAACTCCCGTGTCCACTGTCTCAGTGGCTTGACCATGCTTTACCCCTCCCCCGTTCTCTTTTGTTTGTTTTGGGGTCATACCTGGTTGTGCTCAGGGATCACTCCTGGTGTGCTCGGGGCACCATATGTGATGCCAGGGATTGAATGTGGGTTGCCCACGTGTGAGGCAAGTTCCTTAACCCTTGTATACCACCTCTCCAGCTCCTTCTTAGTATTTTCTCTCTGGTGGCAGAGGAGTAAATGCAGGGACCTCACATACACCTGGCCAAGGCGTCACCCGCTGAGCTACAGCCATGGGCCTCGACTGCCAATTTGTCTCTGAGAAAACCGGGACTCAGAAGCTCCCCTTATCCCACCTTCCACCCCAATCCAGAGCCAGTAACAGTTCTTGCTTTCCACTTTTGGAAAACTGAGGAATTTGTAAAAGACACACAACAAGGTAGCAACAAAGGGCTGATGGCAACAGAATAGGAGAACTGATCCCAAGAATGAAGTTTCTGTGTGCGTGGAGGGGGTGGTCTTGGGGACCTCGTGGGAGGGAGGTGGGTACACTGGGGATAGGTGTGGTGTTGGGGGTATAGACAAGGAGGACCATCATTAACAGTATTGTAAATCACATTATTCAATCAAAAATGAAAATTAAAAAATAAAGAAAACAGAGGACTAGAGTGGGTAGGGCATTTGCCTTGCACACAGCTGACCCGGGTTCGATTCCCAGCATCCCATGTGGTCCCCTGAGCCAGGATTAATTCCTGAGTGCAGAGCCTGGAGTAAACCCTGTGCATTGCTGGGTGTGACCCAAAAAGCCAAAAAAAAAAAAAAATAAAGGAAACAGTTTGAAGGCTGACATTTGAAATGACATCCGTCCTCTAAGCCCCCTTCCCTGGCCCCCCTCTATTCTGCCACTCCCTTCTTGGTTCCTCCATGGCTAGAATGAAGCAGCTCGGCCTGCTCCAAGCATGGGAGACTCAACCCCGCTACTTCCGGTACTACAGCCTGGGCCCTGGACCGCAGCCTCCTCTCCCCCGGGCCTTCTCCTGGTCCAGCCCCTCCTGCCTGGCTTGCTTCCCTCCATCCCTCTGAGCCTTCTGCTGGCTCAGGGGCCCTCCCAGGCCAGCCCCGGCTGGCTGCCGGCTGCTCCACTCCAGGCCTCCAGCCGCCCAGGAGGGGCGGGGGCCTCGCAGCCTGCAACCCACAGCCCGTCTGCTCTGAGCTGGGTCTGTGTCTGTCGGGATGTCTGGCTTTTCAGTTTCCTCCCTGCAGCCAATCAAAACCACTTGGAAGCCCTCATAGCCGCCTGCTGGCCAAGTGCCCAAGCGCCCAGAGGGCCCAGCCTTGGGGCCGGCCTGGCCAGAGCTCAGGGTGGATTTAGAGTGAGCACCCCCCCCCCCCCCCATTTCTGTGCAGAGTTTCAGCCTCACATATGCCCCATGAGGTGGGAATGACCATTTCTGGGCAGTGGAACTAGTGTGGGCGTGTCTTTCACCCAGGGGCAGTGATGCGGTGACTCCTGGCCTTGGTGTACAACACAGGGACCAAAGCCATACCACAGCAGGCGGAGTGCTCACGGCTGACCCTGGGTTCGATCCCCAGCATCCCATATGATCCCCGAGCACTCCTAGGAGTAACTCCCGAGTGCAGAGCCAGGAGTAAGCCCTGAGCATTGTGGTGAGGTCCCTGCCCACCCCCTCGCCCCTCCCCAAAGAATAAGTAATTCAGAGCAACTAGTGTTCTCTGCATTCCCTTTAGAATAAGGAAACATTCTAGAA